AAACATCTTCATCCATACCACCACTCCTTGTGTTGCTTCTGAGTAGACCGAGTCGTCCACTACTCCCTCCTCCAGAATTAGAGGTAGTATTTGGTCCGAAAGATGAGGTTCCGGCGGCACCAGAACTAGAACTCAATGACGGATTGGTTGGCGCTTTGGTATTGAGGCGGGAGGAACGCCGACGCGAACTGCTGGCACACGACCCCGTTGTAGACGCCCTCTCCAGACCTATGGTTTGCTCCCCCGACGGCTCGCGTGAACTACTCGTACCAATTCTGGTGTTCGACAATAAACGAGAATTACTTTTAAAACGTTTGCCGCGAAACGAGTCCTCAATATTAGCGGCAAAGGCCTGATTGGAATCGCTTCGCTGTGAGGCCTCTGAATGCGATTGTGATGTCTGTGCAGAAGATGTTTGAAGTAGTGACGAATCGCAAGTCGTCCACAACTTCTTTCGTGGCCTTCCTTTGCGTTTCGGTATTTCAACAGAAGACGACGGAACAGACCTTTCCTTTCCGACGCTTAAGTTGATTGCAGTTAACTCTTTATCTGCAATAATAAACACATTTCCCTTTAGACTAACAAATATACACTCATTAGCGATGCGACAAACCTATAGACGATTCCTTCTTTGCTCTCTTTCCGGGAGAAACGTCTTCTTCTGATAAGCGTTTGTTTGATTTGTTTTTAATCGAGAGATCGCTTACACAGTCTTGTGTTTGCAGTGAAGTGGAAGCGAATGGCAGATCTCCAGAACTTACACTTTTATTCAATAAATCCCTTTTTGAGGCCAAAGATTTGGAACTAAAGGCAAAGTAAAGACAATTGAATCAAATCATATCGAGAGAGAGTGGTGTTCGGGTGGTATATGACATACCGGGTCCTGATTGGCGATCGCGATCCCAGACAGCGTTGAGACCGTTTCAAAGAAGACGACGCGATTGTCCCCTCTTTATGACTCGACTTTCTGTCTGCCATATAAGACAAGTCTATACGAGACTAACATTTGATACTTTTATCCATTAAAAATACGTTCTGAAAGACATACAAAACATAAAACATTAATTTGAGGTAATAATCGATTTATAAATTCATATTACAATAAATCACACAATTATTAAACGAAATTACAATATAATAAAACAACACAAGAGATGAAGACTAATGAGTGGTTAGCATATCGTAAGCGCTGTGTAAATGCAAACACAAACCCAAAACTCGTAACGCAAACGATATGTTGTACACAAAGTAGAGTAACACAAAACTTCTTGACCTATATTTTGTCATCTATTTTTTGGTTAACTATTTTAACTTTAAATTACATATCATATCATATGTATTGAATTCAATATAAACCATAACATTGTAATCGATTTATACAATCGTGTTATACATTAAAACATTTAATTAACAAATGAAACGCCGTTTTAATTAATTAATTAATTTTAATTAATTAATCATTGATTAAAAAACGCAAATCAATCCGTAATAAGCAATGAGATTGGGTTTTGAGTAAAAATATTTAACAAATGGTTTTTGTGGCTTAAAAATCAAATGAGTTAAACCTTGCGCTGAACTTAATTTAAAGGAAATAATAGTTTTGCAGTAAAAATGCATTCAAAACACAGTCATTGTGTTGGGAAAGGAGTGAGAGATTATGTAATCTTAAAGAAAAAACAAAAATTCAAATCAAGTCAACACATTATCGTTGAAATCAATTGTTTGCTTTCACTCTACAATTCAATGCTTATCTAAATCTAATAGAAAATCAATTTTAATTTCGCTTTCTATACACTAATTATAGGAAAAAATAATCGATAAATGATATTATTTTCCACTCATATGTAAACAGTGTATACTTAAGGAGACGTACAATAAGTTATTAAATATACCAACAATTAATAACTTAAACATGGTTTAAAATATGGTTTGTATTCAATTAACAACAAATTGATTAACAAATATAAGAAAACAAAGAAATGGCAACCATTTGTGCCTTTTGTCACAATTATTATCAATTATATGCCATTAGTGTTGAAATGTATTTTAAATATAAAGGCATTAAAAGTACATTTAATTAATTAACAAAATGATTGTAAAGTAAACGCAGTTTAAATAAACATATGATATATAATAATAATAATGAATTCACTCAACACTAAACACATTAACAGTGAATGCAATCAATACTCAATCCATTTGTAAATTGTCTGCAATTAAAATGAGACCCAATTTATTGACTAAATATCGGTCGTTATAAACAGTAAATAAAATACAATTCACTTAATATTCAATAATTAACTAAATGTGCAAAAAATCAAAAATACTTGTAAAAAGAGTCAAAACCTTGAAAGGGATTGAATGCACACAAAATGGTAGCGAAATATATATCAAACAAATTATCTCAACATTTGGTTCAGCTTTTGGGCCATCAATGGCTCAACACATCCATACAATCGCTTCACTCACACCAGAGCTTAGCTTACGATACGTTTAGTGAATTAATTAATTCGTAAAAACAATTAAAACCACAAAAATGACAATCAATTGAAATTTGCATTTAAAGAGCGAATCAATGAAATGACGCAAAACTATGGCTTTTATAGTGAATTCAATGAGACTTACGTCCAATTGTTTGCTTCTCTTCCCTCTCTCTCTACAACTCAATGGATTGACTGCTCTTTTCGGTGACAAAAAACTCTTTCTCCGCTTTCGTGAATTGTGTGAATCAATTGAATTGATTGCAAACAATCAGTGATTGAAATGGCGTTCAAATGTTTGGACAAAAACAGTGAAGACTTCAATGAAAGCAAAAGCCATTGACGACTAAACGCAGCGATAGTATTGAGGAGTGAATGCTGTGAACGCTGTGAGAGTTGTGGCCAATCATCGCAGCCCACACTCAGCTCTTTCTTTCGTTATGATGGCTCTGTTGTTATGGCTCACAGAGTGTTCACCACTTCAACACATAATCATAGGCCACACAACACACGCCCACTACTCCTCCCACACAACCCAACCCTCACATCACACACAGCGCCGCTCAGAGTCACTGCACCCGCACTCGCACTACAAATGCATACATGTGTGCACTCGAGTCGCTGGAGATGGCGTTACGCACGCCATATGGTCGGAGGTGTGGTTTGTTTGGGCTTTAAATTATGTCCATAAATGACATCCGTATATATTTATAGCCATTTATTGCTATAAAAATATTGAATAAAATGTTTATTTCTAATGATGTAAATAAAGACGTTATT